AAGATAAATCACGATAAATGTCGGCTCGAGCGTGCTCGATCGGACGATTATTTATGCCCGTCATTCACGAATCGACGGCTCGTTGACCGTTAACCGCAAACGCGTCCCCTTGTCTGTAAATCATTTAACGAGCTTAATCCTCGGGGTACCTCGTAATATTCGCAGCCTCTGGTATTTCTTTTACTCGCGGCAAATTATTCTCGACTACGGTCTACGAAAGTAGCCGGTCAATTTCTCAACGTTGCGCTTGCTAATTCTTCAGCGTCGATCGTGCAGTCCCCCTCTACGAACCGTTAGAATTCGAACTCAACTACCTGCTAACCTGGCAGCAAGGAAATTCTTTTCCCCCGCGTGCCTTCTTGACGATTCCACTTTCGCACCGCGTCGTATACCTGAGGCTATCTCTACCCATGCGCATCTTCCCAGAAACTTTCCCAGTTTTCTTTGTAGCGCTCTTCCAATATCAGACGCGGGAATCCCAGTTATACGTGTAACTCTCTTCCTATTCTTCGTCGCTATCTCTGGATCTACGAGACTCTTCCGTGACTGTTTCCGCGACACTGACAGAAACGTTGTGTTTCGTGCTAGAATGCCGGCACGGCACTTCGACGAGGGGTATTATTCGCCAGTGAGCAGAGTGGCTGGTCAAAGACAACGGTGTACGAAACACACAGGGAGAGATCCCTGGAAAATTATGCAGATCTGACGTATTTGCATTTAATTAGCATACATGCCGTTCGTTGCCAAGTCCACGGTATGGACTTTCATCTATTTATCATAAAAAAAGTACACGGCAACGGATCTCGGTGGATCCTTTGGTCGCTTTCTCACGTTGCCTCGCCCTAGTTCGATTAAGAGGAGAGGAGGGGGCGGGTGGAATGGGCTCTTTGAATCGATTCATCGTTCGTTCCTTACTCCGACAAATCGTGATGTCACAGTGTTTGTCAGATTCACGTAGACTTTACGACGTGTTTGCATTCTATCTTCACGTCTCACATACCCGAGCACGAAGTGGGACGATCGATCTGTCACGATCGCTTCGTTCCTCTTGCAATGAGATTACGAAGGGTAGCCGCGTTCGACCGACAACAACTGGGATAACAATGTGGGTAACAAGCAAGCGAAACTTCAAAAGTTACTTCAAGATACTGCAATAAGTTGTAACGTTGTTTCGGAGGAATCGTGGTGGAATCGGTAGGAAGAACGAGCCGATTAACCATTTCGGCGATATACAGGCCACTAAAATTTCGCGAGACGAGCAATGTAGCGCGGCAATTACGCGAACGCGGAACCTTTCCGTAAAAGGGAAAACGCACGTTAAGGAATCGTGTCCATTCTCAAGGTCGACCGGTATCCTACCGGCCCCTACCGTAGACTGCATAACGCGTTTCTATTACGCGGTCAATTGCAGCGATTGTTGCGTGCCTCTCGCAATCAACGCCACCGAGCCTGCACACGTGTGCTTTCTCTTTCTCCTCTTCTGCCGCGCCGTCTTTCTCCCTTTTTTGTTCTCGGTGGTTCGAAACCACCGTTAAAAAAAAAAAAAAAAAAAAAAAAAAATACGAGCAAAACACGTACGTCCCTTGATTTATAGCTATTAAAATTACACTGCGCCGTTCCCTTCGTTGGCCCGTGGAGAATGGGAATAATTCAACGCGAGCTAAACATTGAATGACCGATGTCGTAACCAGAATTATACCAGAATTATACATAGGTAGCGGTACTCGCGAGTGTAAGTACGATTGCCCGGGAAAAATGGCGGATCACAGAGAAGCTGTCACGACTGGCAAATTGCTAGGGAAAGATTGACGTTTAATGGATGTCAAAATAACAATACCGGCGATGCAGAGATTAGACGCAATTTGTACTTCGGCAAACGGGGACATGACGCGAGGAAACGATAATCTGGGTGAAATGGAACGATCGATAAATCACGCGGTGAATACTGATTTTATTTTTTGGCGATTCTTTGCCTGGTCGAATTGATAGGAGTTGCAATCGTCTCGCGATTATGTCCGTCATGAATTAACTTTTCGGGGTGTCAACTACTTTAAACGCGTGATGTTACGACGTTTCTTTCTGGAGTTCGACACTGGCTGCTCCAAAACGAGAAAGATGAGAAAGTTCTTATATTTGACCCGGATTCCTAGATTCGAATGATGCAACGTTGAAATCAATCTGAAGGAGGTCGCGTTGCACAATCCTAGGGAAAAGATCCCGAATTTAGCAACCGCAGGTGTATGGCACGACGGAGGCAGTCGATCGTCAGGACACAAAGGCGCCTTTCCGTGACGATTGCGCCACGAGAAAATAGCGTAATCACGGTGATTAACGAGAAAACTATGTCTCCGATGTATTCTGATTGTGGTGCTTCCAACGGCCGGAGCCAGTCGACGATCGGAAACAGGCAGCCACGTGCGTGACACGTATCGTGACGAACAGACAATGCCGCGGATCGATACGCGGCACAGCGATTTAAATACAAGCAGACAGTGACACGCGGGCTGCGCATACCATCGCCTTCTTTCGCGACAGAAAGAACCCAAGAGAGTAGCGAGCAGGCCGGCCTGCTTGCTGTGCGTTCGCAAGTAGCGCGCGGTGTTCCACTCGACGCTCGTCGTCGAGAGCAAACGCGATCCACAGACGCGTCATCTGCCGTGCTCTCGAATATTTAGGAACGGCTTAATGGCGTTGAATCGACCTCGAGGCAGTCGCAGTGGTATCGTGAACGTCGTCCTTGACAAAAGGCAAAGCAGATGGTCAATAAGAGTCTTGCTCGAGTCTTGCATAGTGGTTACGCGCAATGGCGCGTGTGCGACTTCAGCTTTTTTTCAAACTGGCCAGGAACAAAAGGAATGTCGCGTGCGTGGGAGTGCAGCAGCGTTCGTAAACTTTCTACGAAAAGTGAACGGGAGTCGATCATTGTTTGAGTTTAAATTATATTCTTTAGTCCCTCGTGACTTCTTTGAAACAAAGAAACGAAAGATTTGACAGTCTCAAAAACGAATCGAGCGTCCATTAAAGGAGCAGAACGTATTTACTGCCGTAAACGCTTCTCGAAAGTGTGTTCCGTATGTTTCTTGAAAGTACGAAATCGTGATTTTTACGTTATATTGGTAAACGACATGCCCGACCCGTAAAGTCACACCGGGCCGAAATGTACACGGGCGGCATTATGTAAGTATACTCGTAAATATGTAATAAACGCCGTGTTTTAGTCACATTTTATGGGACGGAGATCGCGTGGGTGAAGAAAGCGAGAGAGCTCGCCGTGATTTTTATGGTATCGAGAATGTACATCTCATTATGGAGAGGGGCCACCGATGTTCACGATAAACGTTCGTGTGTATCTGCCGGAACGGTAATCCGTTATCATTGAATTTCGTTTTACTGATATCGTTTGCCGGACCAAATTGTGTCGAGAGACCCCAAAGAAGTGAAACGCGCAAGAAAAGGCCTTAACAACGTGATTATGAGATTAAATCTAAATAAAGCTGACTAATGTACGTTCTAGAAATATTATCGCCCACGTGGAACAATTTCGAGAAATATAAACAGTACCTGCGGTTAGAGGATTCATTAGAACGCGACGAAACTTTCTTCCTGCACGAGTCGGTACAACCATACGGAGGTTAAGTTGATTTCCTTTAACCCTTGAAATATTAACATATTATCGCAGAGCGTTCTCGATTAAAAGGTTTGCCGAGTAACTTCGATATCATCGTATGGGTTTTAAGCGTGAGCGTTCTAATTGCAAGACTGGATCTCTCGACGATGTCGCCGCCGTGCGCTAATGTAAATTCGTCAGGGAGCCACTTTATCTTCGTCGCGGGAATCCGATGTGATTAACGATAACATTGGATTTGACGGAAAAGAAATGTATCGCCTTGCGTATGCGATATGCCAGGAATTTTTGTACGTCTTGCCCCGCGCCTCAGTACCGGGTTTTGCCATTAAGCGAACTTTTGCTCTTATTTATCATCTTCAATTTCGCATTCCGGGATATGCAAATGAGACACGGGTTGCGCGGCAAAACAAACGCCACACGAAAAGAAACTCCCCAGCGCTTCTTGGTCCGTCCTTTTTCTTTGGTTTTCCTTTTTCTTTTTTTAACAATTTCGCTACCCACATCGCAACTGATATAAATTACTTTCACTTGTTCGACAACTCTAATAAACGGATCGTCGAACTGACAATTACAATCAAGTGCGAAAATAAACAAAATCGAGCATTCACCTTACTCTTTAATTATTTTAAAAATATCGTAACGTCAGCGACGCACACGCTAATTACCGTTTCCATCTCAACCACGAATTTCACACGGTAAATATCGGAGCAAACTAGAAAACCAACATCGCGGACAAGCGTGGAAGAAGGAGGACAGAAAGGCCGGTGTACAGGGAATAAAGAAACACAGAGAGGAGGATAATAGACATAGATTATAGCGGCTGGTGAGGGCTGTATGAGGAGCGCGGAGGAACGAAAGAAGCGGGGTAGAGCGGTCGTTTGCCTTGGATCGGCTTCGAACTGGAGAGTCCAAGCCCAATCCTGAGAGCCCCATTGCAAACCCAAGCTCGATCCCGATTCCGATCCCGCCTGATTTCCGTCCGCGTGCATTCCATCTTATACGTTCGGCCGCGGTCGGCCGGAGTCGAGCCGGATCGGCCAGCTTCGCCGTTTCTCGGTTCCTTCGCTCGGCCATGCTGTCGTGCAACTTCGGCTACAGTCGTGCATCAGCGCTCGCGCGGAGTGGATCGTGGAACGCGCTTCGTTCCAAACGGTGGAATGACGGTGTCCTTTTCGCCGTCGCCACAAGACGCTAAGAGGGACGCTTGTTCGCGCATTGACGTTTCACCTGCCTCCGCGACGATGTCACCGTGAAAACACGATCTTTTCAATTATTATCAACGAAGAGTCTCACACGTGGTTTGAAGTGGGGGCAGGATTTAGCCGGCGCGTTAACGTGCTGTGCGTGTAACAGTGGATGTGTTCTGTCTTACCGATCGTTCTTCCTCTCTGCCTCCGACTTGCTCTGTGTGTTTTCTGCGAACCAAGACCGGTCGTCGTCATTCTGGATAACGTTCGTCCGCTGGAGCAGGGCCCGCGCGTAGCAACCGCAAGAATACCTTAGCCGACGCTGATTCAACAGGTGGAAATCTGCCAACTTACAGGTATCTATTTCTTTCGATTTTTCTCTTTTGTTCGTCTTGGCCAGCTGTCAGCTCGCTGCCAGGTGGCGTAGAACACGACGACCACGATTAACGACGATCTCATCTCGGATCTCTCGAGCCAAAACCGAACCCAAGATTCGCTCCAGGCGACTCCGAGTCGCCGGAGTTGTTCTTTCTTGCCGTTTCTTGCCGATCGCGGAGCAGGCTGCTTGGTGCTATGCTTTATTCGTACACCTGCCTAGTTGGACCCTTGTTCCCCTTCAACACGACGTACGCTCTCCTTTTCCCTTTCGAAACCGCGAGTCGGAGTCGCTCCACGTGCGAACGAAAATTACACGATCATTACGCAACCGCCTCGTAATTCTTACCTCGATCGCGTCGACTGAACGATCAGGATTCTCATTGCATTATTCTTGTGAACAACCGTGTTACTCGTAATCGCGTTACTTTTCGAATGCGCAAAATACAATATGGCGTTTCAATGGCCGCGCATGCGCGTACTTCTCGCGTACGGTGAGAACGAACGAATCGCCGCGAATTTTAACGGGTCGCGTTTCTTTCGCTTGCACGGGCAAGCTCGAGAGATAACGATCCTTACCGGATCTCCGGTATTTGTGTGCTGCTCGCGAGCAACAGCCTCAACAGTGGCGGTAGAAACTAGCTCGCAACGGGATATCTAGGCGCGAGGTGCGCGTATCCCCGATTGTGTATGTACTCGCTATTAACAGCACGCTAAACATTCTCAGGGGATTTTTCTCACACACGGACCTCGACCATTTTCCATATTGTTTCTTCACATATTGTTGCTTTCCACGAGGAAGATTGCACGTTATACGCCTACCTCGTTCCGTTTGCTACGTTCAGTAGTAATTATTTTCGCATTCGCATGTATGGAAAATGTGTTAGTAACGTGGCTGTAAAGTTACCAGCCACGCTAAAACGTCTCGGATCCCTTTGTTGATGTACTGGTTAAAATGGTTGGGATATCTCGTGTTTGGATAGTGAGTCAAACGTGAAGGTTGAAAGAAGAAATTCACGTACGAGACAAAAATTTTTATTGTACAGCTCTGTGTATAACGAGTAGTAAGGTCGTGAGATCGTGGCTTTTGGTTAATCATTTAAGTAAACATACACGACTTTGCAGTTAAGTATCTCAATGTACGCGTTGTAAGATTTCTAACTTTCAACTGGATGTGTTTTGTTTCTTTTTGCTGTCGCCTCGTTTTTCCCCGTTTCTGATTTATCAGTTCGTGGACTCTGATCGATCGACCTCTCAATGAAAAATTCACGCCAACGTTGGGTCGAGTGCATCGACCTTGACATCGGCTCGATATATAGTCTCGAGTGCCTTGACCTTTACATCGATAAAATCCGTGGGTTGCTTCTTCTCTGCGTCATTGAAGGTCGATGCTGCTTCCTTCTTCTGCCTTTCGACACGTTCGTTTTTCGTCGATCTGCCTCAAGCAACACGAATCGACGAAATAGCACCGTCCAAATTCCACCTTTGTTTTTCGCTCGACTCGGACACTCAGCTTCGAATAATCGAATTAATTAAGCCGATTCAATACCCCATTCAGTCAGCCAACGTTGAAACTCTAATGGAATTAATTAGTACGATCGAATAGAAATATATTCACCGAGTAATTCCAGCGGCCTTGAGACTTGTATTCGTTTCTGGAAAGATTGTAGCGAGAAATTGGCAGCGAGGATCTCGAAACTTGCCCATGGTTCTGCTCGTTGCAATCGTTCGCCTCATGAATGAATCATGACCAACTTGAGAACTTTGAAAAGGATCCTGCCGTATGAGGAACGTGCTACCGGCTATCGATACTAGCGTAAACGCAGGTAACTACCCGCGCTTGTTAATTACGGTCTCGGGCAAATGTTGCATGAATAAATAGAAGCACGCTTGGTATCAAGAGTCTCAAATGTGATTCTTGTTAAAATACCGATTAACTAATATACCGATGTCGCTTCAATTTCAGCGAGGTCGCAATCTCTCGTGAACGAATTAAAGTGAAAGTTTGTTTATCCGACTCGTGCGTGCGTCTGTCGCTTCGAGCTCCTTGTCGCTAGTTATTTCGCTTAAAAACACGTAGACACAAGTTATTTCTGTCTACCTTGCGTCTACCGTGAGTTTGATTATTCGAATAAATGAAAATCTCTCTTTTACACAATCTCTTATTGATAAAACTTAAATTCGAAACACTTTTCATAGTTTTCGTTTTGACAATGAGCGACATTCACACTATGGCTTGTTTAGTAACTTAAACACGCGTTTTCACGCTAATTCCCCCCGATTTCTTGGCTAACTCGTCGGTAAATATTTGCTCCATACCATGCGTCGCAGCACGTCATTGTGTACAACGTGTACTATTGAGCGTGCTATGCGAATTTTAATTCAGTCGAGCGTTAGTGTATCTTAAAGTTATGAAAGACCCGAAGTTTGGTAGATGGAAAGAGACACGACGCAAAACATAAACAGTAGACACATTCATCGCGTGCTCATTGCGTAGATCTTGTCGTATTTGGGTCGTAACGCGGAGCGTAATTTTTTCTTGGAATATCGATTTTCAGAGTAGTCAATGAAACGAATTTTTCTCGAAAATACTATGCCATGAACGATCATTCAGTAAAATTCACATTCGTGAATCTCGTGAGATCATATTGCATCGAGTTCACAAAACAGACCGCAATCTTTGCTTGAATGCTCGTGAGCGAATGAATGAATTTCAAACAAATAAGTTGTATAACGCACAATAATCGTTAATATATTGAAGACAAGTTACGCAAGCATATTCGTTTCACTTTCTATTTTAGACGAATCTCTATTACGCGAATTTTCTTCGACGAATGATAGAAAAGAGAAATTACCGTGGCACTAGATTCGATGCAATTACAACATTGCACGTTTTTGTTTTCACGTGAGAGCCCGCGAGCATTGCGCAATGCGCGGTTCCGATACTTTTGTGGAAAAAAAATCCCGTAATTGTTCATTTTTTTTTTTAGCAGTAATGCAAGACTCGTGTAATAATTATCAGTACCAGCAGATATCGGTACACGTAAAACGAAAAATCGTTTCACATGTGAAAACGATTCCTGCATTCGCGGGCAAACATCCGGGAATTGCTCCTCGACCGTCTTTCGAGATCATTACTGTTGATTAATTCGCTATTTCACTGTTCTGCTTACCACCTAACAAGATGCTGTTAATTCGTTCGATACGTATACGTTGCATACGTATGATAATTCAACGACGAAACACATCGACGTAATAGCTAGCAGTACCTACTTGTTGAGTTTCCACACTTGTTGCATACAATCTCGCCTCGAGTCTCACAATGTATTATATTCCATCTCTCTTAATCATTGTTCGAATAACACTATGCAAAGTAGTGGTGTGTAATTTTTTCAACTGACTCGACGGTGACGTGAGAACCTTGGCGCAACATCTGCTGCTCGGATATATCGGTCAAGGTCCCCGGGAAATCGTAGACCAAGTGAAAGAATCCGATAGAAATCGGATGCAGAAGGATTCGGGTCTCAAATGAAAGAAAGACGCGTTTATCGTGCATAGGCGAAGCGGCATTTGCTCGAATGGAGTGTGTATTGCTTAACATCGCGGTGTTGCGCGGGTGGTGTCTCCGTCTCTCTCTTCCTCTCTCTCTCTCTCTCTTTTTTTCTCGTAAATTGCATGAATTCCGCGGTAGTCGCGTTGAATATAGGTTTCTGGTTGCTCGCGTCGCTTCTCGCCGATCGCTGGTTGAAACACGGGGATCCAGTTTGACTGGAGCACGTTCCAGTTTTCTCACGAAGTTAGAAACATTCTGGGTCAGTCGCACGAATTCGAGAGATATTTGGAGTTTCAACTGGGGGGAGGGCGCGTGTTCTCTCGAGGCTGCGCGAGGGTCATTACGGTATATCCGTGTACGGGAGAAACCCGAAGGAAAGAGTAGTTGAACTCGCGGCACTGCCACAAATTCATATTAGTATCAAACACGGGAGGAGAATTATGTAGCATGACGAATGGCTGGGTCATTAGTGACTTGCTAATCTAGGAACTACTATACGAGGGCACGGGATTTTTATGCTCGTGGCAAGCAAACCACGGACGCTTAAGAATGATCGTGCACTACCAACGTAAGTCAGATCCTCTGGCTTGCCAGCGTGCTACGGTTCTACCGTAAATTGCCCACGCTCGAAACAATAATAATCGAAGTTTATTTGCCCGCGCGGCTATCTACGTTGCTCAATGTAGGAATCGGGCGTTGCGTTTTATTATCTTGCTCGGTGTACCGCTCGAAGCGAGCAATTAGAGAATCGCATTCGCAGAGCCAAGACAGGGTCTCTGTTCGGCGCAACTGTTGCAGATATCAGAGGCCAACGAAACGTACCGTTCATTTGTCCGAACATACGCTCGCTGAGCCTCGTAGCACGTTCTGAAGAATATAAAGTCATTCGGGTTGATGATCCGGCAATTATATGGAGCGACTCGAACTTCGACGCGAACGATCCGCGAAGGGTGGAAGAGTTGTCGGACGAAAAATATCGTCGACGTGTACCACCCCTGGAACGTACCTCGCGACGCGAGAACTGCTGAATGATGATATCTGAAGCGGCGATCTGCGATTTACTCGGTCGACGACGGTCTAGCCTGCGTATCTCGAAGCATCTCGAGCATTTCTCTCGCGGCCGTTTCTCTATCCGGTCGGCCTCCTACCGTTTCGCACGTCTGGGCCGGTTGTTCTATAGCAGGGCAGCGGATGCTCGCCGGACGACGAAACCGGATGTCCTTCGCTCGGAGAAAAAGAGAGATTAAACGGGGAGTAATGTAGGATAACGAAGAGAGAGGTGGAGGGTGAGGCAGGTAGACGAGCCGGTGAATATACCAAGGGAAGGAAG